TTCAGGTCCCTGAAGATTATTTAATCTTAAAGAGGCAGCCCATGCTGCATTGCAGGGATATCTGATAAATACCATAACTGTGAGACCGAAGTCCTGATCTTTTAATAATAATCTAGTTCTAATATGCTTCTGTTGTCAGTTGTTACATGTCTTTAATCTGGATGAGGCCTGAGCATGGAGTTTAAACACTAACAGACAGTCGTTTTGTAAAGCTGTGGGGTTTTTTGTTCTTTTTTCCCCTTCCTCTTCCAGCAGCTCTGAAGTAGTTTTATTTATGGCAGTATATACATAAATGAGAAAGCAAAACAGAATGGCTGGTTGTACTCTGTGGCTTCCGAGTTCTTTTAAGAATGAGTCTGAGCCTACATGCTATTACTGTGTAGGGTAGTAATTGTCAGGGGCTTTTATCTGAACACATATTTTGTTTGCATCTAAACTTTTTAATTCTTGAGCAAAATCAAAGAATGTTATATTAATTACCTTTCCATAGATTGCAACAACAATAGCTCCAAGAATTTTTCAATTTAAAATTCTATCTACTCCCTTCTCTTTTTTTCTAGCTTCCTCCCATTCTCAGTCAATAAGCTCTACCTCTCTTACTTCCCTTTCTCCTTGGCCCAGGCAACATCAAGCTGATTTAGCTATATTGCATTCATTTTAGGAAAACATGCCTGTCTTCAACACTGTGTTGTGTCCTTTTACTCTCTCAAGCTTGGAATATGCTCTCTTGTTGGAGAAGGTGAGAGTGGGTTTTGTGCTGTCATTTAGGACAAATGAAATTTCTTGGTGTCCTTGCACCACAAAGTTGAGGTTTTGTTTTAGATTTAGTATGAGTTATGAACTTAAACTGTGTGTAGGCATTTTCCTTCTGTATATAGCGCTTATTTTCAAAATAATTTTTCAGGGGGTTATTTTTCCATGTTATGTGTGCATCATTAACTAAGCGCATTTGAATCCTGGAATTTACTTTTTAGTTCATAAAATGTTTTACTGGACTTAAAACACCATAATGTATTCTTTGTCAAGGACCAAACTTACAGGTTGTTTTCAGAAAATAATTTAATCTTCCATATGTTTGTTTAGTGTGAAGCATAGTTGTGTTTTCTAGTTTCTTCTCTCACTAGTAAAGCAAGACAAAGCAACCAGAGTACTAACCGGTTTAATGGCATTTGTAGTGGTTTTACACAGATAGAACATTGCAAAGGCAGGAATAAACTTGAGAGCAGCCAGCCTTGCACTTGCCTATTAGTCTTTATTCCCTTCTTCTGGGGAAGAAAAAAGTAAAATTTAAGATACAAGATATTTTATTTTTAACTGATCATCTTCAGTTGGCATAAATTTATGTCAGAGGAGAAAATTAAATGCTAGGTTTTCTTTTACAAACTGGCACTTTATTTCACAATTTTTTTGGTCGCTTTGGAGGTATTAGCTGTTTTATCTTGCTAAGAGGAATTGATAATTGCTGATAAAAATTATTTTCCCTAAACACTGAAAGGCAGTTATTAATCAGTCATTGCTAAAACAAAATCTTCAACTTTCAGATGAAAGTTAATCCTAATAACTATTCTGAAATTGAATGTAGCCTGAGTGCGAGAATTTCCACTCTAAGGGAACTCCGAATAGTCTTTTTTTCCCCTCAGAGTATGGAAAGGTATGACATTTCATACTCATCTGAATAAAACTTGAGAATGATTGAATTACTACATTAATTCATATAAATAACTCTGGGAAGGGAGGCATGATATTAAAAAACTACCGTCCTTCACCCCTGAAAAAGAACTTCCAGAGCCCCCACTCCTCCCAACAGACTTGGTTGTTTCTGATCACAATTATGTCATCTGGAAGAACAGAACCATGACAGGCACCTCTCTAATATCTCTCTCTAGTGTAACAGTATAAACTTTCCAGCGTGACAAATGTTACAGTATCTGTCACAATAGGAGCTGATGTTTAAGTTTGGTAGATATTTTGGTGGAGGAGGCTGGGAGTTTGTTTATTTTACTACATAAGTGTGCTAGCTTCCTTAACCTAGACTGTTCTGTGTTTGTGCTTTTAAGTGTTATATTACTTAGGTGTGGTGGTGTCTGCACAGGGATAGGATGAGAGGACCGACATACATTAAAATATGTGAGATTTTGACTAATTAAAAAAAAACCATAATTTTTAACGTGAGGTTGGTCAAATATTGGAACAGGGGCCCAGAGGGGTTGTCAAATCTCCATCCTTGGAGGTGTTGAAAACTTGACAAGTTCCTGTGCAGCCTGTTTGAATTGGACTTGCTTTTCCTAGTATGCTGGACTACATGACCTCCTAAGATCCATTCCAGCCTACATCATTCTATGTTACTAGAAAACTTTCTTCATCTGTCTGTCTGACATGGCCTAAGATATGCAAAAAATTCATGCCACAGCATCTCCTGGGGCACTGGACATCTGTTCATCCAGTTAAAGAGTTCTTGATGCACTGCACCACTTCTCCCACATATAAGACTAGCAAAGTAGGAAAAGAAAGAAAATGCACGATAAATCTTTACCCCAGCAGACAGTTGAAAGGCAGTTGGAGTGCCCAGGAACTGAAAATGTTTCTGACACCTGAGGACTAAGCGCTGTGCTTCTTGTTAGCCAAAATCATTGCTTTGTAGGGTAGTCATCCATTCTGTCCACATGGACAAGGTGGTACATCCCTAGCCTAATTTCATACTTAGTGTTTCTTATTGCCTAGTAAAAATCTATGCTGCTTTGTTAATAATGGCCTGTTTGCTGCCCTGTGTTTCCTAGCTTCCTGGTACCACTTTGAATTAATGCAGATAAGAAACTACTGTGAACCATTAGATCCTTGAAAGCAAATCTTCAGGTTTTTTTCTTGTTTTGCGAAGACAGATAGAATCTTAAAGCACAAGGTAAAATCTGAAAATTGCTTAATGGCTTACCTAGAGACTGGGGACTTCAGTGAATGGAACATCTCTGTTAAGCTTGGGCAATTTCATATGTTGTGGAAAAAAATGGCAGCAGAAATAAGAACCAAGGTATAGTTGGAGTGGTGATGCTGAGAGGCCATATAAGCAGCACTCTGAGTAGCTGACAGGGCAGCTTGGAACTAGCCCATGTGTCCTCTAGTTTGGATGTGAACTTTGTGCATATATTTGAACTGGTCAACGTGCAAATATTGCAGAAGGTTTCAGGACACCGCTAGCATTAGATTTGGGAATACAAGGAAAACTTCTGTTCAGGTTTTTATGTGTGGGCTCCTGCACCCTTGTATTAGTCTTGCTGCTATAGCTTTTATCTGAATTGGCGGGGGGCAGTGGCAGTAGCAGATAACAGGTTTAGGCATATTTATCCACATGTAATACCTACTTCTGATGAGTACCAAGGCCAGGCACCATTCTTACTCACCTATATTGTTGGCTCTGCCCATAGGTGTTTGTTGTATTTATTGAAGTCCTGTCAGCTTACAAGTTCTCCTGTTTAAAAATTCTGTTAAAAACGACATTCTGGCTTGGTTTATTTTGAGACACTTCTGTTTAACAAATTCTTGATCTGTGTGAGGTTTTTCTGTTTGTTTCTCCCCACCTCCAATTAGCACTAGACGAAAATGATCCCTTGCCTTCTCCCCCTTATCAAGTGTTTGTTTTTTACCTCTTGGACCTCATTTCAAACATAGAAATGTGTTGTCCAAAGTACCTCCATTAATTAGCTCTGTATGATGGAAAGAGTTCCTTTCTTGGTGATGGCAGATTAATATGTGTGTACAGTTTTAAAAAACGTATTCATTAGGGTTTTGGAGAGAAATGCCAGCTTTCTCATTACTTTTAGATTATATACTTGAATAACTGTGGTGGTTTAAGGTCCAGTTTTATGTACTTAAACACAGGTTTAAAGGAGGGTTCACTAGGTGATTTTGGCACCTGCATGGGGAAGTTTCAAAGAAGTAAAATGCTCACTGTCTGTGTACTTTGAGAATTGTAAATGAAAGCTTTGTGTTCTGTTGGCTCTGCAATATTGATTTTATTCATAGACTGTTCTTGCAGCTGTTCCAGTCTTCTGAATAATAGTGATGTAGCTGTATTCAGAATTTCATTTAAAATTACAGTTTTTAAGGCTTATAGATTAAATAGGATACCTGTGCTTTTTAACTTCCATTGAATTAGTGACTTACCTGTGTATACTTCTGCCCTCCTAATAGCTTGATTTGCATGACTAAACAAGTGACAGAAGACATTTTCCCCCTCTTCTTTTTTCTATATTTCAAAGAGGATGTTAAAAAAACCCCCTAAATCTGTGGATAATAAAACTAGTTTAAACTAAATATGTCAATATCTGCAATTTTTTCATGAACTGAAACTTCTAAAATGGGAACATATCATTTTGGTCTCTTAAGCATGACAATTTTTTTTTTTTAATCCCCTTTAGAGAACACTTCCTTTCTGAATGAGGGACTTAGATGTGGAAAATACATGTTTGTCTTTGCAAGACCTAGGTGGTCTTTATACTGTGTTGATTATGGAACATAAAAATATTGCTAGACTGTTGTGTGGCTTTAAATATATGGGTAAACATACAGATATGCAATTAAGGTAATAAAATAGTAGCCTAATTTTATGGCTATCAGAATGAGCTCACATGGTATCTATTTACTTGTCAGCAGTCAAAAACAATAATTTTAACACAAGCCACTTATTCCGTTCTCTTCTGCGCAGCGTTGCTTCTTTGCCAAACAGAGATATTTAGACCAACATAGCTTCCATATGTGTTCAGCAACTTGTTTCTGCTAGATATTTTACCCATCACTGTTGTTTAACAATAGTAAAACTTTCTCACTTGGGAAAAGATGTAAACATCTTGTACTGAAACTTAAATACTTAGTTGTTGGCTTTTTTATTGATGCTTTTCGTGTCAGTAAAGATGTGGGGAATGAGGCTTCCAAAATGTCAATTTATCAGTATTTGTTTAAATTAAGTAGATTTTACTTAGTTAAATGCTTTTGAACTATTTTTATAGGGTTTAGTTTAGCAGCTTTTAAGAGGAACAAGAGGAAGCTGGAGTTGGCTGAAAAGGTGGAAACAGATCTCATTCAATTAAAGAAAAGAAGACAATCAAATGAAAAGGTTAGTTCCTGTTTAAAATTTTGTTGTGCCATCCTAAACTTACAGCGGATTGCTAATAAATTTCATGTCGTATATGATGAGACTCAATGTAGCATCAGAAGCTACTTCCCTTTGACCATCCTAAAGTTTAGATGATAAAATGATAACTTAGTGCAATTAAATTTTTTTGCCTTGGTATTTGAAAACCAAACGATCACTATGTATCTTGTTTGTGCTATGAAAAATATTTTGCTCATTTTGAACTGGAAATAATGACAAATGTAAACACAAACAGATAATTATTTACTGAAACATTTTCTTTAGCTTGGAATCTCTGTCACTGTTTCCCACTTTTTAATGTTTCCTGAGTGCACTGCATTATGGAGCTGGAATTGGTGAAATTTGAAATATCAGGTAGGTAAACATGTGCATCTGTGCATGCATCTAGCATTGACCTGGCCCATATTACTTGTACTACAACACTACTAGGATTCCCTCTGTTCTCCTCACTCTTAGTGTGAATTTAGAGCCTTTGTTGCCATTTGAGTATGTCAATCACAGGATTTACTGCTGAAAATCGAAGTATACCTCATTAAATGCCTGTACTTTATTTAGGGCCTGTTGGCTTTCAGATTGGCCATTTCTCTTTGCTTTGGTAAGCTGTCTGACCACTGCCTTATGTAGTTGCATATGTTGATGTAAATAATATATAAAGCCAAGAGAATTGTCAAAAAGTTTATTCTCTGTAGACTGTGCAAATGCAAATATGCATTTTTCTTCTGTGTTCTTAGATGTTTTCCCTAGCAGGGTGCTAATTTTTCTGTTTACAAGGAGATAAGACCTGTAAAGAAACTAAGGACAGAGGTGGGGGGAAGTTAGTTTTTCATTTAAAACTTTTCCTGTTTACAGGACTTCAGGTACCTCCTTGTGAAACTAATGGCATTACAATGTAACTGAGGGAGGAGAGGTCTCTGTACAGTATTGTTGTTCATGTAATAAGGGGCAAGTCAATGCTTGAAATATATGCCAATGCATGAGCTTACCGACCTGCAATTTGAAATTTCAAGGGCTCCAGAGTCATGTGCAGCGCTTGTGGGAGACCCCCAAAGGCCAATGGTGGTAGGTAAAGAAGGTGATCAAATAGAGCTCTCTACTCACCGGTAAGTAATCCAGTAACATAACACAATGGTTTTGTCAACTTTCTGGGCACATCCTGTCCATAGAGCGGGGGGGTGAAAACAACACCATGCTAACAATGTGGACTGCTTGTGTTATCCACAGAGTGCAAGATAATTGCAGCCTTACAGGAAGTTTAGTTTTCCAAAATGAAATAGAAATGAAAAACTAAATTCTACAAGAGCAAATTCTTTAAAAAAAAAAAAAAAGTAGAATTCTCTCTAAGCTATTAGAAAAGGATCATTTAGCAAGGATGAGGTACATGATCTGCCATCCTTAAACTCATACTGTCAAAGCTGAACTCATAAAAAGCTTAAAAAAAAATGTTTAAAAACCTTTTAAATACTTGAATAATTACAATTTAATCTTCTTGTCGAAGTTAAGCTTTAATTGATAAATACTCATTTAATTTTTTAATTTGCAATACTTCTCTGGAGCTGCAGACCTGTCCCTTTCAGCAGGACTTTATAGCTGATTTACTGTCTAATTTGACTCACCTGGTTCAACCCTATGCTGCAGCTTAAATTCTGTGTCTCTGTTGCCAGTGCTGCACAGTTGTTATAAATTCTGGTCATTTTTTTGTCTATGAAATTTTAGAAGTTGGGAGAAGAGCTAGGTAGAAAGGATGTTAACAAATTGAATTTGAATGGAAATGAGAACTAAAAGGCCTATGTGAAGAGATAGTATTGCAGACCAAAAAAGGCTGAAATTACTTGGAAATTTTAGCTGCTGATAAATAAGTTTCACCAGTAAAAAATAAACAGAGTTTTAAAAATTACATTTCAATAAAAGTTAAATTATACCAAGCTCAAAAAGAATGAGAGGCTGTTTAAATTTAATAAAGATTGTATGGAAAAAATAGGCAGTGTAACTTATTAAAAGATTTTTATTTCTCGAGTAAATGGGATTTTCTCTTTGCTGTATTTTTCATTGTTTATCCAATGTAGGATTTGTAGAGGGTTATGTGATTGCACACATGAAGATCCATTAATAACTTCACTGACTTTTGAAGGTGTGAAAAGTGAAACTTTTTTTTAAGCTGTAGTGACTTTTATATTGATTTGCATGGTTAAGAAATCATTTTTGTTCGGGTGTGAGTTAACTAAACATATTCCGAGGGGGGCTGACTATGATGTATTAATTCAGCCAGATGCTATTCTGAAGTTCTCACCTCAAGCACCAGTAAACATCAGAAGTAAATATTTGTCTTCTTACTGGTAACCTGTATTTTACAGAGGAAATTGGCATTGAAAATAGCTTAGTAGAATTTGGCTAAAAGCCCTATTTTTAATTTGTCTTCTGCTATTACAAACTCTTTTTACAGCTGTGCTGAAGTTACTTGTAAGAGTTGTTGCCCTCTCCTTGATTTGAATAAGTGGCACTAAGAATTTCCAGTGCATATGAATTTTTTCATAGGTTAGTATTTATAAGTTATTTTTATAGGCTAGTTATTTATCAATAGGATTATTTAGTTTGAGGTTTATTAAAACTAATTTGATTTTTATCTCATTTAACTTACATGGTCAATTATGTGTATAAGAGTTTGAATTACATGTATGGAATTAGCAGTTTCATATTCTGCAGCTACTGTATTGAGACAATAACACTGAATGTATTTAGAAAAGAAAAATACATCTGTTCAACAGAAAAAAAATTACTTCTTTTAAGTATTTTGTGCATTATAGTTTTTGTCATTGATCATCTTGAATGTACCATGTGAACTTTTAGTCAGTTCCAGCTTGAAAAGATTGGGTGAGCAACAATCAATGCATAGCAATGTGCATCATTCCCATTTTACATGGTGAATTTTAATCACTTTTTCCTCAAATCAAATTTTTTTGATTGTGTGAAATTGTAAGTGTACCAGTCAACTAAGGCAATCCTAGTGTCTGCCTTACTTATTCTTGCAGTAAAAACAGGAATTTGAATTGTATATATTTCCTTTTCCTTAAAAAAGAAATTTTCTGTCCCACATCCATGCTGAAATGGTTTTTGATGATGATAATACTTTTTAGACTTCCAAAATATACTTCAAAATCCATTTCATATGAGAAAAGAAACTTAAATACTTTTCATCCATTCCAGTTAAAAGAAAAAAAAAGAAAACAAAACTCATCTGGGGAATACATATAAAATATTCTCCTCATCTTGGACATGGAGGTTAGACAAAATGTTCTGTTTACACACCAACCCAACCATTGAACTGGAAAGGCTAGGGCTGTTTTTCGAGCTTTGTACGATTAGATTGTAACTGCCCCTTTTCAAATATATGAATGTTGCACCAATTCTGCATACTCTGTCAAGATTAGATTGCTGTGAGAGTGCATCATACTATGCTGCCAGTTGCCCTAGAGGAAAACATTTCTAGAAATTAGTATGAATGGTCCAAGTGCTCACAGAGTAGTGAAATTTTCCTTTGACTTAGATGAATTTAGAAGTATTGCTTTAAAATACTTTAATAAATAAAATGTTGCTTAAAAGATTGCCTCTCACCTTATTAAGTACTGCTGTAATCAACAGAAGTGCTCCATGAAGAACACCTTAAATCTGAGATTTTAAAATACCAAAATATGTTAATTGTTGATACATTATTTTCTAGATAATGCTATCCACTGTTGTGCTCCTCTCTGTTCCCACTTGATCTGTAAGGGGGTTTAACATCGGACATACTACAAGATTTATGTGTTTCCCTGTTCTGCCTTGAGTAGGATAATACTGTACAACCCCCATATTTTTAGCGTAATCTACTTAATCTGAATATAATCAAATAGAAAATCCTATTTATTTGTATGGATAGTTGGGTATAGCATATAGATGTCAGTTGCTTCAATCTAGTTCACTTTGCATTTTGTCAGTTTTGATACTCAGAGATGAGATTTGATGGGAATTATTTTTCATGGAATTTCAGAACAATCTCAAGTTGAGAGGGAAAGGGCCCTCTGTGTAGATATCTTTCAGCTGGCACTGGGTAAAGCTTTCCTAAACTCTTAGTTCCTTCTTTAGGAGCTTGTAAAATTATGACTATTTATGGGATTTTTTTATGTGCAGCAGAAGGGAAGGATGAGATTTCTAAAATACGTGATAAAACTCTGAATTTGTGCACATGAGCATCTTCCTGCTTTGTGTGCATGTTCTTAGCTAAGTGTGACTATTTGGTCCATGATTTCATAAAATTAAATTCCTTTCCTGTGCAAGGAGCAAATTAATTAAGTAATATGAGGTCTTACTTTTCACATTGATGTTCTGTTGTTTCCATGTAAAATATTAACTACATAACAGATTATTTTTAGGTTGCAAGACTACATTGTTAAACCCCACAAATGGCTTTAGCTGGTCAGATATGGATTTTTTTAACAGATATCACAAAGTAATAATCAACTTGCAAAATTTTGAAATCTAAGATGCTAAATTAATGAATCAAATACATAATAAGCTAAGGAGAAGCAAGCTGGATCTTCTTTAGTCCCTGTTGGACCCCGTATGGAGTTTGGGCTTACTTTAGTCTATATGAATTGTTGTGTTTAACATATTTCTATTGATTGTCCTGATATTAGCTTGAAAGGAGACTGCATTTTTCAGCATTCATATGGTTTGAAGAAATGAAATGTGTGACATTGAAAGTCTTCTCCCTAGGTGCATTCTTTTGGGAACTCCTCAGGTTCATAATGCCTTTTTGTATGAAGAAATACAGGGAATACCTTGGTTAAATTGGGATGAATTCTTCTTCATTCACTGGTTCAGAAATTAATAGGGTTGTCGGTACAGTTTACCTATGTAGAAGACTTTTAGTACTGAACTGTAGAATTGATTTATGGTGTCGCCCATAAGTGTGTGAAGTCTGTAACGTTGAAATGGGAGCAAGCATAGATCTATTCTAGACCTATTTTTGACAACATATTTGTCCCGGTGGATATAGAACAGAACTGGTCCTCACTGGTTTTCAGTTAGTTAAGTAAAAATAAATATAGCATCAGCAGTGATTCTTTTTCTGATCACAAAAAACCCCAAAATTTATATTACTGAGAAGGAAAATATGGAATTCCTTTGCTTCGGTGATAATGATTTCCTGCAGAAGGTTGTGTGAGCCAGGTTTAAAAAAAAAAAATGCTTCCCTCAGGAAAGGTTTCCAGCCTCCTAAGTTGCCCCATCTAAAAATAAAATAAGCCAAAGCAAGCAAACTATACCACTGAATTGACAGCAGGTAGTGATAGGAGAGATCTTTTTTTAAAGGAAATAATGGTGAAGAACATTTCCATGCAACATATACTTGTAAATGCTTGTGGTTTTTTGATTAAAATATCTTTTAGAAAAAGAGATTAGTAACTACTGAAGGCAAATATTTTATGCATGTGAGAGCTGAAGTGGAAGATGGATGGCAGATTGAGCAAATAGTTTTACAGATGCTGCAAAGAAGGTTGCAAGCATTTTTTTCTTTGCTGTCAGATGATATGGAAAACATACTGATCCACACTGAGCCTCATCCTTCTGTTCATTATGGAAGCCCCAAGTGTTTGATTTAATATGAATTAAGATTACACAGGTGGCCTTAATTCTGGCATTTCCTAACTTTGACGGGCTTGATTTTCATATCTGTACTTGTCTATTAATCAAGTTTTTTGTTATGGATATAATTTCCTTTGATAAAAGGGGGGCGGGGGATGGACAACAAAACCTGCCTCAGATTAGTCGTTCTTCTCTATATAGAAATCATAGGATCATAGGAAAATTCATGTTGGGAAGAGCTTTATCCATCCTGATCTTGAAAACCTGAGGATGGGAGTCAACACCTCCAGTGAACAGCCTGCTCTGCTGCTTAAGATTTTTTCAATTCATGGAATAGTACTGTTCTAACTGGATTAATAATACCTGAATTAAGTTGTGACTGGCACTCCTGGGATTTGTGAAATACATTTGGCCATGAGAATTTAAGGAAAGGTTCCTTTATTTTCTTTTATCTTTACAACTTGGATGGGAACTTCCTCTTAATCTCCTTTGCTCCAGTCCTCAAAATTCCTTTTGCCTCTCCTTCTCCTACCTTCCCTGATCCAGGTTTTTACTTTCCTCTGCTTTTCAATTTACTCTTCTTCTCAATGCCAGCTGAGACCCTAGATCTATATTTTTTCACCTCTCTTTAAGCAGTTATTCTGCTTTATTGTTAGGACATGCATCTGTTTGTTTTAATATTGAATATGGTTAGTGCCAGCCTCTGAGTGTAGAACTTGTTCCGGAAGATCTAGATGTAGGTGAAGAAAAGAAACTTACTGTTACTCTGGATAAAAGCCAAGGATGACACTCCTGATTAGGAGTTCCAGTTGCTTGGATACTGTAGAACACTGTAGTGCTGCATTGCATATTTTTCCTTTTAAGACTGGTACAGTATTAACTCAAGTGTTATCTCTTAAATTGTGTGGTCAGAGTATCATCAGCATGAGTCTACTAAGAATTCTACCTGATAAATCATGTTGTATGCCCAAGGAAATTTTAAGTAATGATGAGAACTTGATAGTTTGAAGTTGAATAGTTTGGTGTATATTTATTTTTTTTCTTTTATTTCCTCCCTCTGCATCCTAGTCCAGAAAGTATGCTTTTACATGAATAGCTTAATACCCAAGCGAATAATGCCACAGGATAACTTTATGTAAGATTTTTTTTTTTTTTAACACAGGTGAGTTTTGTAAAGGAAAGATTGAGTAGCTAAAGGCTTGAGGGCTTGTGCAACAGCAGTGTTCGTCTTTGGAGTATGTGATGGATGATGTATCAGTTTTATTTATTCATTTTCTTTTATGTACCCTGCATGCTGTGTCACATCAAAAGCATGTGATTAGGCATGAAGTCAGAGTGACTTGCCCTGGGTTTTGCAGAGACGGGAGTCTGGGGCAAGACTAGGCAGAGAGGGGAAAAGGGCTTTTTCTCTTAGAATGACAATGTGATATATTATGAAATGGGGAGAGGAAGGAAAGATCCAAGGTGAAGTGTTTGTGAGACAGCAGGCAGAGAGCTCGCATCAGGAATGAATGCTGGAAGACCCCTGCTCCTAGGGGAGCAAATCTGACTCAGAAGCAATGGAAGTAAGGACACTTTTCTAGTTACCCAGAAGTAGTGAAGGGTGATTTATTTCAACCAGGAAGCCACTAAAGATTACTGAACTGAGAGCAGGTCTGGGAAAAAGAATCTGTCCTGGGGCAGATTTCTTCTCAAGGCTTCTGATTATTGTCTCATGATATCAGAATTTTCTCTTTACTGGTAAGTTGCTTCTTGTGGATTTTTTTTTTTTTTTTTTTTTTTATCAGTGTCTCTGAAAATGCTGCCTTGAAGCTTTTGGGAAAGGCCTTTTGATAAGGCACCTTTGGAATGAGTTGCTGAATCATTTCTTAGTGGACAAGTGCTCAGACACGCTAAGAAAACAGCATTTTTGGCACCTTTCTGAGAAAAGGCAGGTAATCTAAGCATAGGATGAGTTCTGAGATGTTTATTACCATGTTTCCAGATAAGTTTTCTTCAGGTCCTGTCTGAGGCAAGAGAGCATTTTGGGAAGATTTTTGGCAGCACGATTGGTACAATATGCATGATAACAAAGTCATTTTGTTGATTGCCCTGTCACTTGATTTTGTGCACGTTAGTTTGCACACTCCTAAGAAGTATCATCTGACTTTAATATACTGTTTTTAGTAGTTGTTTCTGTTTGTGTATCCTGCAGGAGAATGACTCAGGAACATTGGATACAGTTGGTGCAGTTGTTGTTGACCAAGAAGGAAATGTTGCTGCTGCTGTCTCCAGTGGAGGTTTAGCACTAAAGCATCCTGGAAGAGTTGGTCAGGTGATTATACCTTTTCAGTTGGCAATGATTGTTCAGCAATTGTGACATTAAGTAAGAGCTGTGATAGCACACAGATGTTCTCCCTTCCTTCCCATTTATCTCTGAAGGCATTTTCACTGCATTGGAATGCAAGTTTTTAGTGTTCTCCATCAGCGTTCTAAAACATTGATAGATAAGAAGTTGTTATGGAGTTAGTTACCTTTTGCCAGAGCTATTAATGAGTTAATTTGTCACGCTTAAATACCTCCTTTATACCACAAATAGTCTCTTAAATTCTTAGTGTGTTTTTAAATATGATTTTCATCCATATTTAGGGAAGCTATTAATTTTTAAATGATCTTGTGAATTAGTGAAAGTGACAAAGATATTAAAGGAACACTTCAGGTATAGGGATTCCTTATCATTGTTAGGTGCGGGAATTTTGAGGTTCATCAGAAATATCATACTCCATTGCTGTACAGCTGTATTGCTGGTTGACTTTGGCCACTGTCCCAAAACCAGTTCTCTTTTGAAATATATTTAAGATTTTCTTTTGGAATAGCAGTGTGAAAGGGACTTTATAATAGGGAGCAGCTGGAATTATTTTGTCTTTTGATATCTGTACCCTCATTTTCTGTAAAGTTACGTTAGAATACCAAGCATCTATGATAATAATTTCTGAAGAATAGTGAAAGAAGAGGTAGCAAAATGAATTGGAAGTGCAATTTTGACTGTTACAATTTTCTTATTTATCTTTTGTATTAATACTTGGATTTTTCTTGAGTATCTTTTTTTGTTGTTTTTAGGTTTTTTAGTGTTGGAGGTTTTTTCTGTTCTGTTTTGTTTTTAAAGGGAAGGGAACAAACCCCAATCCTTGTATACTTAAATTTATGAAAAATGCACTTCTTTCCTTAGGCAGCTCTTTATGGTTGTGGCTGCTGGGCTGAAAATACAGGAGCTCATACCCCTTACTCCACTGCTGTGAGTACTTCAGGTATTTGCTACTTTTATAAATATTTCAAAAAGTTGCTATCTTTCTCTGTAATTAGTTTACAAATAGCAAGTAAAGTGTTTCTATGAGTGGTGAATGTAGTCTGTAAATAATGTTATTACAGTAATTAATACATTCTACATGTGTATCATGTATTTATGTATAAATGCATTTGTATAACTTATCATGTTAGTATTGTCTTGACATCTGTGGAATCTCTGTTGATTGCATACATTGGTCATTTTACTTAAAAGAACAGATTAACAACCATGTGAACTCTTTTCCTGTTCAGAAGATTTTGTATTGCACTGAAAGGATGTACTGTATTTGTTATGTACTAAGGGACTTGTCCTCCTGTAAAAAAGTCCTGTTATAAGCCCAATATTCTGCTAAACAAAGAATGCTTCTGTGATTGGAAGCCTTCTGTAAAGGACTAAGATAATTAGAGGATCCTTTAACATAAGAAGGGTCCCTTCGATATGAAAATGCTACAAAATTGCATTTTTCCCTCCAAAAATATTTAAAGTATTATTTTAAGTGAATATTTAAGTAAATTTGTTCTTCATCTGTCTTTTGCTCTCAGAAGGAAGGGGAAAAGGCAGAAACAAATGACTAAAGTGTCTTGGAAAACATTTATTTAGAAATAGTGAAAATAACATAAGAACTAGGGTAGCCTCTCTTCCATTTGGGATTCTGAGATTCTGGAGACACAAACATATTTTGTTCATATGATGCCTATCAGCCAGCTGTAACACAGAGCTGTTCAATCAATTCATGTGCTGAGCACTGGAGATACCAATTGTAAAACCAAATTTGCCAGCAGGTCTACTAAATGTAACAGGACTGAAGAAATAGTATAAATTAGAAATAAGAAAAAACCCACAACAACCCCCCAAAACAAACAAAAGACAACTAGGAAAATAGCACATACTGCATTTTAAGATTTGAGAATGTAAGACAGGATGTTTTTAACTTGTCAGGAACAGACAGGGAAAAGATAATTGTATGGTTATACAATACCAGGTGAATATTACAGAACAAAAAAGCTTTAAGGTGTAGTTATGCAGGAGTTACTTTGCAACTCCTGCATAAAAGCAGTTGAAAGGACTGCACTTCATCTCTTCTATTTTTTTTTCCCCCTTAGTTTTATGAACAGTCTCAAATAGAAAAACTACTTGTAACACTTTTTCATAAATGGATATGTCAGGACACAGAATTTATGATTTGGACTACTGCTTAACAGTCAAGAGTTATTAGTGTTCAGTACAGGGAGAGTTCAGATTTAGGTAATGTAAACTATATCCCGAGAGTACTGCAGTTATGAGTCCTGTTACAGAAATAGTGTGGGGAGCAAGGTAACAGCATGTAGAACTCAAATTTGATGGAGGCCTGAAAAGCATCAGAAATATTCTGTGTTGCTTTTGAAGTCATATATCTTTCTAATTTCCCCTATATTTAAGTTTGTCTTGCATGGTTGAAAAATCTGTGTAGATGTTTACTCTAAAGTTCAATGTTAGTAATAGCAAGTGTCCTTTCTAGTACTTATCAATGGAAAGTCTACTGAAAGCAGAAGTGCTGGAAGATCTTTCTACTCAAGGAGCACCATATTGATTTTAGTTTAATAAATGCATACCTATGGAAGCAAATATATTTAAATATTGCAGTATTGGGGACCATAACTATTAGCAATTATAAGTCCAATATTAGAGACTAATAATGATTAGAGATTGTTTGTGGAAAAGCTGAAAAGGCACCTTTGTTTATTTTTTTAAAACTGTTCTTTACAAAGTCAGCTGGATTTGAAGTCTGTGCAAGTACCAGCAAGCATCCTGATACACTTAAAGGAGATGTCTGGGTTTAATGATAGCCTTAAATAGAAGCCTCCTGTCTTTTTGCTGGTACCAATTTTATAGAGTGGTAAATACTTTAATGTTATACTATTTATAACTATCACACATATATTTATATATGTATTTATGTTACTTTGGTACAAATCTTCTAGCTTCCATGACATTACGTTAGTACTGATCCCAGTTAATTGAAATAGACTGCTGGCTGTCTATGAAGCATGGCCATCTGTTTATTCAGTGATTTGAAATTCAGACTAGTGGTGTTTAATTAAACTCTTGTTTCTGGTTTTCCTTTAAAGTGTGTGTCTGTGTGAGAGAGGGAGATATAAATGTTTACAGGAAGTGAGAACTCTTCTGTAATCAATACCATTCTTTTTTCCATTTTCAGAAGCACATAATGTTTTATAATGTAATTTATGTTTAGTACAGTTTTAAAATATATTGATGCCTGACTCTTGTTTAAAATATGAGCATCCAACAATGTGAACCATGAAGTTAATTAAGGGATAGAGGGATGGAAAAACTAAATTATAGGAAGGTTGAAAGAATGAAACTTACAACTTGGTTGGATCACAACAGGGGATGAGAATGGGGGCATAAACATCTGCAGATATTCAAAAGGTGAAATTGCCAAGGCTAAGTGAGAAAATAATACGTTAACATACATTGTTGTTGGATAAACATTTTAGGAAATAAAGGTGCTGTCTAAACTCTAGGAGATGCCTTGATTTGGAAAGCTCTAAGATTGACAGTGCTTTCTGAGAGAAGTGTGGTCACTCTGCTTACCTAAAATCAGACTAGACTGTATTTGTAATTTTATATGTAATATTATTTGTAATGAGTATATCCCACTCTTGTAGGTTTCTAAATTGGTTTTGTGTGGACATACATTTTTAAAAGACAGCAACAAATGAAACTTGAATGTTATGTATAAATAAAAAATGTGTGTGCATGTACATTCATTTCATGTTTCATTTTACATACAGATATATGCATTTATATGTCAAAGTATTTAAAATATGTACATAAACCAACTGAAATTTATAATCAGTTTAGATTTCTGTGGTTTTCACAATATAACATTTTATTGTTATAATTTCACATGTCTCTTAATTTGTCTTTAAGTAGTATACTTGGCATAGATTTATCCTAACATTTTCTACAGGGATCTTTTTTTTCTGTTTTATGGGGAGGCAAAAAAAATTTAGGCATTAGTTGGTGTGTATAGAGTACTGTATGTGGAATTTGAAATATTTATTTTTAAATGACTTCACAGAATAGGTGATTCATCTAATCACCTTTGGAATTTAAAAATAAAAACCTTGAATGAAAAGTTTAACTATGATTCCCTTAAAGCTTTATCAGAAGTACACTCAAAATGATTAAGTATTAATATATGTTAAACCAAATAAGTTTAACTTAAGGATTCTTTGGGAAATTAGAGGTTTCACATTTGTGCTGGTTTAGACTTTTTAAATTGTTTTAATGATAGCTGGGGATAGAGATTCAAGCCCTGAGAGTTTATTATATCAAGCTCTATATTAGGCCTTGAAAAAGGATGTTCTTTGGTATTAGTTTCCTGCAAGCAATTTTTAAGGGTCAGGTTTTGTAAATATTTTGATGCCATAGTTATGAAATTGCTCATGTCTTTGTGTTTTGGAGGATATGATCAGCAAGGGTCTGAATGGGCTGGGGAAAACCTCTGGTGTGGGAGTGTTTGGAATAGTAATTCAAAGTATACAGAATACAATGCCTTATACATTGAAATCCATGCAGAATTGTCAGATAAAGGGTGTTTGCAGGTCTTCAAGGAACACTAAGGGACTGGGAAAAGCACCTCCACTGTGTTATCTAAACTTCTAGCAATTTGTAATATTTGGACTTTATAAGCTGGAGATATCTTTGGTTTTAATAGGTCAGGATGATTTTCTCAAGATTTCTTATTTCATTTTGTATTTAGAAGACCAGTTATTTAAATTTTGCTGGGAATGTGTTTCTTATTCTGTAATGGTTTACCTTTGTGGAAGCTTTCTTGGAAAAATAAAAGTGTTAGTTTAAAATGTTACAATTAGTAATGCAGTAGGTTTTATTCTTGAATTGTTGTTAATTTTGTTCTAACATCCTCCTATTGAAGCTTCAGTTTATGACATATCTTTCACTACCTTCCTCATAAAAAGCTTAAAAATAAATGTTTAAAAACCTTTTAAATACTTGAATAATTACAATTTAATCTTCTTGTCGAAGTTAAGCTTTAATTGATAAATACTCATTTAATTTTTTAATTTGCAATACTTCTCTGGAGCTGCAGACCTGTCCCTTTCAGCAGGACTTTATAGCTGATTTACTGTCTAATTTGACTCACCTGGTTCAACCCTATGCTGCAGCTTAAATTCTGTGTCTCTGTTGCCAGTGCTGCACAGTTGTTATAAATTCTGGTCATTTTTTTGTCTATGAAATTTTAGAAGTTGGGAGAAGAGCTAGGTAGAAAGGATGTTAACAAATTGAATTTGAATGGAAATGAGAACTAAAAGGCCTATGTGAAGAGATAGTATTGCAGACCAAAAAAGGCTGAAATTACTTGGAAATTTTAGCTGCTGATAAATAAGTTTCACCAGTAAAAAATAAACAGAGTTTTAAAAATTACATTTCAATAAAAGTTAAATTATACCAAGCTCAAAAAGAATGAGAGGCTGTTTAAATTTAATAAAGATTGTATGGAAAAAATAGGCAGTGTAACTTATTAAAAGATTTTTATTTCTCGAGTAAATGGGATTTTCTCTTTGCTGTATTTTTCATTGTTTATCCAATGTAGGATTTGTAGAGGGTTATGTGATTGCACACATGAAGATCCATTAATAACTTCACTGACTTTTGAAGGTGTGAAAAGTGAAACTTTTTTTTAAGCTGTAGTGACTTTTATATTGATTTGCATGGTTAAGAAATCATTTTTGTTCGGGTGTGAGTTAACTAAACATATTCCGAGGGGGGCTGACTATGATGTATTAATTCAGCCAGATGCTATTCTGAAGTTCTCACCTCAAGCACCAGTAAACATCAGAAGTAAATATTTGTCTTCTTACTGGTAACCTGTATTTTACAGAGGAAATTGGCATTGAAAATAGCTTAGTAGAATTTGGCTAAAAGCCCTATTTT